TAATAATAATAGCAAATATATTTGAGTAATAACTGCATGCTACTTTTTATATATTTCCTCAGTCTTTACCATAACCTTAGGTGAAGGATATTGTTTTTGCATATTGAAAAACTGATGTTCATCAGAGTCAAAAATTAGTAAGTGGAGGGCCTTCCAATATAATATTTGACTCCCCAAAACATTACTCAATTAACTTTATGTTGAAAATTCTCTGATGGCTTTAGACTTATTTCAGGCAGTGGGAGAACTTTACCCAATTCCAGAGGATGAATCATCATTACAAGTGAACATTTTAATTCTGGAATCAAGTGGGCCACATATGCAAACTAGTTAGTATAATTAGCTAAGAAACAGGAAGTTTCAAGACATTTTGAAATAATTGTAAAGTTATGCAATTTTGAATGTTTATTCCAGGCAGAGAAATAAAGCATGTGGTCAGGGGTTGCAATAGGGCATCTAACTTAGAAGCAATTTCTGTATGGTCACAACTCTCCAGACAGAGGGATCTCCCATTCCTTTAAGTACATATCTATTGCTTCTGCCTTTTACGAGATATTCAGAATTAAAAAATGTGGGTTTTTTTGTTTGTTTGTTCGTTTTGCTAGAGCAAATAAAAAGAAAAGAACTGGCAGATTTCAGGAATAGCAGCAGATCTGGGGAACATTTATTTCCTTGTCTGTCTGGCTCTCTTTCTTGTTCTCCTTCATCAAGTGTTTTCTCTCTTCCTTATAGCCCCTCTACTTCTCTCTGTGCAGAAGCTTGTCCTTTTTACCCTCATTCTCTGTAGCCTGATTGATAATTCTTGCCCTCTTGCTTGCATATGATGTGGCTTACTATTGGTTCTTTTGGACCAAGCTTGTTCATAAGTAGTAAAACTTGGGTTACTCTCATTCCAAAACCTATATTTCTTTACTGTATTATGCTGATGGTATATTTTTATTTTTATTTATTTATTTTTTAAAGATTTTATTTATTTATCTTTAGAGGGAAAGGGAAGGAGAGAGGGAGAGAAACATCAATGTATGGTTGCCTTTCGTGCATCCCCTGCTGGGAATTGGCCTGCAGGGAACTGGCCTGCAACCCAGGAATGTGCCCTGACTGGGAATCAAACCGCGATTGTCTGGTTCGCAGGCCCGTGCTCAATCCACTGAGCTACACCAGCCAGGGTGATAGTATATTTTTAAAATTTTAACAATCAAATAAACTTTTAATAAATTAAGATGTGGAAAATAGTGCACTATATTTATGCAGGTATTCACCTCTTCTGTTATCTCTTACTTTATTTTTGAAGTTTCAAAGGAACTTTGGTGTCATTTCCTTTTAGCCTAAAAAAAGTCCTTTTACATGTTTTGGAGAGCAGGTCTACTGTAACAAATCCTATTTTTCTACCTGAGGAATGACTTTTTCACCTTCATCACTCAAAGACATTTTTACAAGAAGTAGAATTTTAGGTTGATAGGTCTCTTCTGGCACCTTAAAGATGTTGTTCCACTGTCTTCATCTTTTTTTAAAAAGAATCCTCACCTGAGAAAATGTTTATTAATTTAAATAGAAAGGAATGGGGAGAAAGAGAGAGAGAGGAGAAGAGAGGAGGGGAGGGGAGGGGGAGGAGAAGAGGGAGAGGGAGAGGGAGAGGGAGAGGGAGAGGGAGAGGGAGAGGGAGAGGGAGAGGGAGAGGGAGAGGGAGAGGGAGAGGGAGAGGGAGAGGAGAAACATTGATGGGTTGCCTCTGAAATGCATCCTGACCAGGGATCAAACCCACAACCAGGTATGTGCCCTTACCAGAAATCAATTCTGCAACCTTTTGGTGTATGAGACAACTCTCTGACCAACTTAGCCATCTGGCCAAGGCTCCACTGTCTTCTGGATGCCATCATTTCTCATGAGAAACTTTCAGTCTTTGCAACTGTTGTTCCATACATTTAATATTTCATTCCAATCTCCCATCCCCATTTTGGCTGATTTCAAGACTTTTTCTTTGTCCACAGTTTTTATTAATTTTATGTCTGAGCTGATTTTTTTTTGGAGTTTATCTTTTTTGGAGTTTGTTGAGTTTCTTGTATCTGTATATTTACCTTTCATCAAATTTGGGAGGTTTTCAGAAATTATTTACATGAATATTCTTTCTGCACCAGCATCTTTTTTTCTTTTCCTCTTCTTTAAGGACTCCCATGACAGAAATATGAGATCTTTTGATATGGTCCCACAAGTCTCTAAGACTCTATCTAGTCAGTTTTGTTTTCAATTTCTTTTCTTTCTGATGTTCAGTTTGTATCATTTCTATTACTCATTCTACAAGTTCACTTGCCCTTTCCTCTCTTATCTTCATCCTGCCATTGAGCATGTCTAATGAATTTTTAATTTCAAGTATTGTATTTTTCAACTCTAAAATTCAATTTAGTTCTTTCTTTATAGACTCTATTTCTCTTTCTGTTCATTTCAAGATTGTTCACTTTAGTTTATAAAAAATGGTTCTAATAGCTACTTCAAAGTCTGTTTACTAATTCACACACCTGGAACTTTGGATTGGCATCTGCTGATTGATCTTCCTTTGGGAATTAGTCAGATTTTCATGGTTGTTAGTATATCAAGTAAGTTTGAATTGTATCCTGGATATTTTGAAGATTACATTGTCAGACTCTGTGTACTGTTAAAATGTTCTGGTAAATATTGATGTGTTGTTAGAATGGGCATTCAAGTTACATTGTCTGTTCTTCTCTTCTGTGATACTATTTTCAATGTCAATACAATTTTCAGCTGTTTCTAAATTATTTGGGTCTGATAAGGCATGTACCACTCAAAGCTTGCTCTGGTTTGGGGGTAATTTTTATTACCCCAAAACTGTAATTCAATTCTTAAAGCTTTTGTTGTACTTCTCTGGGCATTTTCAACACTTGGGCAACTTGAGGAGTGAGTTCATTACTTATATAGGTTCAAACACAGAAATAAATTCTTTTCTTCAACTCTCTCTTATCTGTGGGGATTTCCCTACATCCTCTGACTTCTAGGACTATTTTACCCAGTTTTTCTGGCAAGGAAGTTTGGGTGCTTTTAGAGTTTGGCCTCCTTTGCTGTGGCACTATTCCATGTAATTGCACCACAGTGCAAAGCAGCAGGGGAAAGAAAGAGCATGTAACACTGATTCATCTACTTTTTGCACAATGGGGATCAAATTCTTCTATAGAAAGGATTAAATCATCATTTGGGATTATAAAGGCCCATGCCGCTACTGGGGTAGCAACACAGATCAAGTCTAAATTCTTTTTACCCTCACCTGAGGACATGCTTATTGATTTTAGAGAGGGGAAATATGGGAGAGAGACAGGAAGAGAAATATCAATGTGAGAGAAAAACATCAATCAGCTGCCTCCCAAACATGCCTGGATTGAGAACTAAACCCATAACCTAGATATGTGTGCTCTGACTGAGAATCAAACCCGTGGCCTTTTAGTTTATGGAGCACACTCTGATCAAGTGAGCCACCAGCCAGGGCTGCAGATTTATTTTTGAAGTTGGCTTTGAGTCAGAACTGAGTGAATAAAAAGAAAAACATGAGGATTTCCCCCATACTTTGGCTTGTAGGAGCCCTTTATCCTGTTTCTGTGACCAGAATAATGACCTTAACTATGTTTTTGTTTTGTTTTGCTGGCACCTTTTACAAAGTTCCCAACTTGACTTCAGGACAAATCCAGGAGGAGATAAAAAGGAAAAACAGGGAAGAGTCTCTGTGGCTCAGTTGAGCTCTGCTATAGATTTGAGTTCCTTCCTGAATTCACTTGCTGTTGTTTACTTTCAGGATTTCTCATCTAGTTGTTTGTCACATTTGTCCACTTTTAGTGTGATCATGGGAGTGACAGAATGGGTTCTGTGTTCCCTGGGAAGCCTCTTATTAAGGTTTGTAATCCTTAACACTTGCCATAGAAATTGTCTTGTAATCGACAATGAAGTAAATGAAGTAAATGAAAATCACAGCATTGGTTTGTAACATAAATGCTGATCTTTTAGTCCTGTCTTCAAGGATCATTTATGGACACAAAAGTCCTTTCCCATTTAACTGCAGTGACTCCTCAAATTCCCATCTTCCCATCCACTCTTTTCTAAGATTCCACTTTGAAAAGTAGAAAAAAAAATCAATCCACTGATTTTTTTCTTTGTCAGGTGGGCTTGTTGAGAAAAAAGTCATTCTTTGCTTCATTATAAAATTTTTATATTTACATAAAATTATAATTTTAGTGCACCAAAAGGAATTTATTTTAGTGTTTTAGCCTTTGGAAAATGATAACTTTATTTAATAGATTGGTATTATACTGTTCTAAATCTATCATTAGGATTCATCTTTATTTGATTACTATAAACATGTCACCAAACCCACAATCTACTTCTTACCATTTGCATCCATGAATTCAAACTTGCTGCTCCTTAAATAAGCAATCACTAAAACTTCACATTTTGAATCTTTAAAAAAATTTTTTTAATAAAAAGTAGTAAACTTTAGAATATAGCTAATTTAAAATCTCAATGTGTTTACAACTTTTTAAAAATTTTGCCTGCCGTTTTTATTATAAACATTATCTTATTAGGAAGTAACTGAGTTTATAAATATGAATTTTTCCATGTTTTTGTACATTTGGTATGAAAGACCCATATGTGACCCAGGGGGTACTTACTCAAGAGAACTCTTTCTAGAATTCTAGGTGTTCCCTCTTCTAAAATAGAAAATCGGATTAGAAAATTGAGCTACCAAAGTATACTAAGCACGTACGTGTGTGGTACAAATTCCTAGCATGAGTCGACTGAAGGTTGATTCCACTGAGTCCAAAGTCTCCAATAGGGTTTCCATTTAAAGATAAGTCAGGGCCTATATCTTGGAATACCACCTGGCAGTGCTATGACTGAAATGAGAAAAATGAAGAGGCAAGAAATATGTTGTGTCACAATCTGTCGTGTTCAAAATCTAAGTGTGTATGTTTTTTTTTCTATTTTTATCTTGGGGTCTCCAGTTTACCGTGGTTTCTGGGCAGTCCTGATGCTCCTGGGAGTAGTTGCTGTGGTCACTGCGAGCTTTTTGATCATCTGTGCAGCCCCCTTTGCCAGCCATCTTCTCTATAAAGCCGGAGGAGGCTCATATATTGCTGCAGGTATGTGTAGTGCTGTGAGCATGCTTTCTAGCCATGGATTTTCTCCGTATCATTGTATTTTTCATTTATAGTTTTAAGTATCAGGCTTCTAGCAGTAGGAATACAATTATATTCATGGGTAATATTTCTAGAATGCTAACTATACATCAGACATTTCCCCAGGAACTTTACATTTCTCATGTGCTAACAATCAGAGCAACAGTTTTTGCTCATTGTGTCACATCATATGAAATCAGATGATAGAGGGGAAATATCTGCTCAGAAAGCCTTTTAATATCTTATGTCCTATTAATTTTCTGTCTGTAAAATGGGGTCATAATGTTTCTCTGTATCATCAAGATATAGGTAAACTTTTCTGTGTTCTCTGAAAAAGATAGTGCTATGATAATGCTCCAAACTCTCATAATGTATTTACCCATAGATAAAAGGCATGTTTTTCTACAATATCACCATTTGGTTTTCTTAATTGTGATTCATGTGCATTATCTAAAGGCATTCTCTTTATTGTAAAACCTATAGTTATTTTAGTCAGCTTCCTAACTAGACTTTCTAATTCCTATGAAAATAATCATAGTACAAATGAAAAAATAACTGAATAGGTGAGTCTTGTGAATTTTAAGACTTTTTCATTTAATTAGGATGTAAAAGAGAGAACACTAATTTAAAAACATAAATCTAAAGTTATTTGTAGAGATAACAATTCTAAAAAATTAGACAACTTCAGTGTGACTCAGACTAAACTGTACATGATAATGCTATATTGTAACATAAGATTAGAAGGACAAAGAGTTTCTCCATGATATGGCAGTGAGAGCAAAGAGAAGGAGCAGACTGAATAGCTTTACTACTTTTATAATCATTGCAAAGACAGCTCATGATGTTAGCCATCACAGTTTAATCAATGGCCAGTTAACAGTTTCTTGAAGTACACATTTTGCATAATAATGTGCTTATTTCTGCAGAGAGAATAAAAATAATAATCAGATATGTATCCTCTGCTCAAGGAGCTAAAAAATAAAACAAAACAAACAAACAAATAAAAAACCACTGAGAACAAGAGCCCTGTTTAAATTGCTCTGTCTTTTCCCTCTTATTTCAATTCTTTTCTTCAGATTTACCCATTTGAGTTCATAATTTTGAAAATAACATTTGAAAATTAAAATATAATTCACACACTACAACATATACCATTTTAAAGTGTATAAAGTGCAGTGGTTTAGTACATTTACAAAGTGGTTTAAGTATCAATATTTGATTCTGGAATATTTTTATCACCCCACAAAGAAAACTCATCCTCTCCTCTACTTCCATCCAGTAACCACTGATCTTCTTTCTGTCTATAGATTTGTCTTCTCTGAACTTTTCAAATAGATGTAATTGTAGTTGTGGCCTTCTGTACCTTGCTTCTTTCACTTGGATCCTATAATTTATCATCTCTCTTCTTTAATTCATAATTCCATAAGACCAAACTCATTATGACTTAATACTGAGCATCTCTTTTACCACATAGTTTTTCTTCCCACAAACCACATTCTACCCTCATTTCATTCGTGGGTCTAGTTAAGGTTAATCTTTTTTGCCGGTCTTCCCAGAAATAATGCTAAAATATGTAAATATTTTTCTTCACTCCTTGACTTTCATTTTTTTATATTTGTCAACAAATACTAGGTGTAATAGCAGCACAACTAACTGAAAGTCAGAAATGCTCTGATCCTGAGTTTGGTCTTAGGAAATTTTGTGTGCTTGTTTATGCTTAGTGTTTTTTTTGGGAAAAAATAGCCATTTTATAATTTGTGTTAGAAAGTAGTAGCATATCCAACTAGACTTTTCAGGGTGATCACTTTGTAGGGTATATAAATGTCAGATCACTCTATTATACACCTGAAGTTAATATAATATTGTGTGTCAACTCTATTTTGACAGTTTTTTTAATTACACTTGGCCAAGAACCTTGTAGAAAAATAAAGCATTTACTACTGTGGGGGCAACTTTGCCCACAGAGTGCCCCCTTCCACCACAGATGAAAGTAAACACTACCAAGACAGGAACTGCTTGGGGAGGAAAGGTAGCAAATCACTCAAAGGGGGAGGGCCAAGAGCCCCTTCCTCAAGGGGCTTTTATTGGGTTTGTTTGCACAAGAATACAGGTAAGGATCAAACAATAGATAGCATTCGAAGAACTATGAGGGCTTATTCTCAGTCAGGGTCAGATAGCTAATGAGCCATAAAACTTTGAGGAAGAAACTTCTTGCTTGGACCCTTATCATTTAAATGAGAGCATTCTAAACAAAGCAGGTTTCACAAGATTTTTACAAATTCTTTCTTAGGCCTGATCACCCTGGATACCACCCTGGCAAGGCAAGGAGCCATACCCCTCCCATCACAGGTTTTTAGGCTTAAGTGGATTAGAGCCATGAAGCTCTTCTCCCAGATGGTAATGGGGACTCAGGCTGTATCACAATAGCTGGGGGGGGGGCGAGGGTCCATCATCCCTCTTTGTTGCAGCCCCCGCCCCCCCCCCCAGTGTTTTCAGTATGGCCTCCCAAGTGATTGTGTCTGGCTTAGGTTGCCCCTCTCTGTGTGAGGAGTTGTACCCATTATGGACATCAACCATGCTTTGGGGACAGGGGAAGAAGCAGAAGCAGCGCTTGCTGCCAGAGACAAGCTTTGTTTCCTAAGTGGCTCACATTCTGAGGTCACTCACTCAGTCTTAGCCATGGGAGTCAGTTACAATTCCTGAAACCAGGCAGAGCAGTTCACAACAATACTACATACTCATGTGCCTGTGACAAGTAGACTGTATTTTTTCAGCAAATCCTTTTTTGCTTATGAGTGTGGGGCTGAGATTCTCCTTGCTCAGGTCTCCATGCAAAAGATCCTGGGAGCTGAGAGGTGTCCGAGTTGTCCTGGGAGCCCATTCTGAAAGACCCAAACTAAATGATTATGAGGACACTTCCTTTAAAATTTGATGTAATTTCCTTCATGGCTTAGTTCTTTATTATTTATGCAGGGCATTCTTCCCCCCAAGAACAGAGACAAGTATGCTGTTGGATAAAATAAAATATTAATCAGTTTCCTGACTGAACTGATTCAGCTTATCAGTTCAGTCAGGAGAAATGATGTTCTCAGGAATAACTAAAGTTTACTTTCCAGTAGCAATTTCCACCATGATCTTTTAAACATAATCTTTTAAAGCAGTTTTGGGGCCTATAAATCATCTTTCCTCTTGAGTAATTATTGACAGAAGAATTATAAAAATCTTTCAATTCTGTATTATTCATATTCCCAAGTAATATAAATAAGAAAGTTGTTGTTTCAAAGTTGTTGATGGAAACTTAAATGCTATGCTCTACAGGGATGAAGGGAATATGAAATAAACAGCCAAGCCAAGCCAAACTTTGCCAGCCAAGTTTTCTTCTGGACCACATTTAACATGGAACTATGCATATAATCATTTACTGAGCTAAATGGAATTTATAGTGTTTTGGGTGGTTTAGATTTTGTATTTTAAAGTGAAGAAGTTTTATTCCATGCATCTAGTATTCTAAAATCTCTTTTGTTTTAGGCCTTGTCATCATCCCCTGACTGACCAAGTCCCTCATGCTGCTTTATGTCAACACTGTTCTCTGATGGGCAGTTAGGAGCAGGTGCAGTTTGGGCTGTGGTTGCTGTGGCTATTTTATCAACTCCACAAACAAGATTGGGCACTCTCTTTATTTGGGCGATGACCTTAGAACAGGGTAGGACAAAATTCCAAATGGCAGTTGCTGGGTGTGCACACATAGAACATCTTTTAGCAACAGTAAGGTTGTTTTGGGGCATTCCGTATGGCTGGACAGGCTTGTATTTCAGCAGTGAGTGTGAGTAAGGGGCAGGGTCCATGGTATTCCTCCTTCTGTGACACCAGACTCAGAGCAAGGCTTGGGGGGCATATGTTGCCACTCCCTGCACTTGAACAGATCCCTCCTTGGGCAAGCTACATCATGAGTGCCCCGTAGAAGTTCAGTTCCAGACCAAGTAAGTGGTAATTGTCAGGGTGTTATGATGCCAAGTTTGTATTTCAGTCAATCTCATCACACACCTCCACAATAACTAAACAATTAGTGACTTTTTTGCATTTAAAATTTTTTTTAATGTATAATATACCATCTGTATATTGTGTGTTCACCACCTCAAAGTCAAGTCTCCTTCCATCTCCATTTATCCCCATTTACCCATTAATTGGTTTTAATGTGGACTTTTGGAGAACTCTTAGAAACGCAGGAGAGGGCTGTTGTCTTCTCCTAACATGTGATATTGGAAGTGATAGGAAAGATGCAGACAAAGGTTAGAAGGGATAGACATGGCTTGAAACAGGTTTAGAGTTATGGGGAGAAAATTACTATAAAGCTGAATATTTCTAATGCCTGTGCAAAGAGACATCAATAGGAATTGCTGCTCATCAGCAAGACTTCTAAGTGCATAAAGAAACATAATGGCATGATCTGGATGCTTGGGACACTGGCATTAAGTGATAAGCCACAAATGCTCTGAAATTGTTATTTTGTCAGGATATCAGGATATCAGGGAGAAAGAATTTTCTATCACAATTGAAGTCACCTTTTCCTGAATAGCAAACTGGGATTATATTTTCCTGCTACATGTAGAGCTTGACAGAGTCTCATCTGGAAAGAGGTGCCTAAATGTCAGCTAAGTCCCTTGTTAGATCTTCAGGTTGGTGAGGCTACATACATATCTTATGAGTCAGGGGATACAGGATGCACTAGTGGGAGGAAAGGCCTCTTCTGTGTAGTCAGTTCTTAGGAACGTGGCAGAGGCACAGCTGTAGTTTGACTGCTGGCTGTCTGTGACCGCATGGTGTGCTCCTCACCAAGACAGTTAATGTTTAATCACCAGGACACAATCTAAGTGAATTGGGAAAGTCCTGTACCATATGGGACTAACAGCCTGAAACACATCCTGTTATGGCCACGCCTGCTCCCTTATGGTCCCAAGGACAAT